GATTTTTCAAAAAGTTATGGAAGTTTTAAGAAAAAAAAGTGAAAAAAAATAAACACATTATAGTAAAATTAATATCTTATCAAATTCGCATAGAAACTAAAAATATTATTTTTGGTGATATTTTCATAAAGTCTAAAGTATAATAATGATTTTTATACCATTTTCAATACTTAAAATTACATAAAATGTCTAAAATAAATGGACTTTTTTAAACACTTTTAGTGATATTCTTGGTCATCCAATGTTTGATATTTTATCTTCACATATCTATAAAACTAAACTTTACAAACAATCTATTGAAATAGATTTTAAATTTTAATGATAGAACAAAATTAATTTCCATTTTACTGTTTAGTAAATTAAATGTATAACATTTAGATGATTTTTTTTTTTTTATAGCTTCTTTCGTTTTTAGTAATTTATAAAAATGAAGAAGCTAAGAACTAAGAGAGAAACGCATGTCATTGCTGTCAACTATAATTATTCAATATGCTCTATCATTCTTATAAAAGACTTTTTATAATAACATGCGTTCTGTTAAACAAAACTCAAAACTAATATTATGTAAACGTCAAATATTAGATCCTTTATAATCTGTTCATTGTCAAAACTAAACAAGTTAGTAATTTCTTTACAACTAGTTCAAGTTAAGTTACTTTAATATAGAAAACTAACTAAGTAAAATATAAGTTAGTTTTTGGAATTTTATAAATTCCTAACTTAGTTTGTTAAAAATATTACCTTAAGTTATAGTAAAAGTTAAAAGTTACTTTTCATAGTTTAAAATTTTAAAACTTGTTTGTTCAAATGTAAATAATAAATTATAAACCTTGTATTAGTAACGATTGAAAAATTAAATTAAACAACTGGTAATTTCATAAAATGTTTCAAGCATATATATTTAAATAATAATAATCTATATTTCTTGGAATATCAGTTATTACTTAATAAAAAATATTAAATTAAAAGGTGTAACAAAATATAAATATATACTAGCAATATGACAGTATTACATATATTCATCTATATTGACATAACATAAATAATTATTTATAATATTCTATATATCAATGTTCTTTCTTTGCTAAGACAACATTCGATTACATGTTTAGGAAATGAATTTTAGGTTAGTAAATATATAAGAAAAAACAACACTTAACTGAATGGATGGTTATTGATAAAATAAGAAGGGCTAGGATTTATTTGCATTTATAATTTTGTTTGAACCACATTAAAAGTCCTAAGTTTGTGCAAATTTATTATGCAATTATACAATAGCATAGAAATATGTTTCATTTTAAAGGGATAAACATCTCTATTCGCCCAAAACTATAACAACATCTTACTTATTGTAAGTTTTCAAACCAATTAGTAAAAATTTGTACAGGCTGATGAGGCGTTTACAATAACTTAACAATGTTAATAAATCCCAGTCTTGATAATAAGTTAAGTTCAGGAATATTAAATTTAATAATTAATTATTAAGAATAAATGGTTAATGGCTACTAATACTCGTATGCATAGTCCTGACCTAATGAGATACATAGAAAAGCTTATGAGTTACATGTTAATGTAATTAATAAATTAATAATGTTATTTATAACGAGCTTATGGGTTACCTAAGATTTTACCTTGAATAGTCAAAATTCATGCGTTCAAAACTTATGATAATTTTAGGTTTATGGAAATAAAATCTCTATTAAAGACTGTTAAATAATAATTTTTCACTAGTAACATCGTGTGTAAACTTTTTAAATATTTATCTTGTTTTCCTTTTATATTAAAATGTAATATACTCTCTTGTTTGTTTGCCTATTTGACGAAAAAAGAATTTAATAATCTTGAATACAGTATTATGATGAATCTCTCTTAGGTTATCACATACAGTTAATAATATTGCATAAATCCCTTATTAAAATAATTAAAATAATTTACTTAACAATAAAATAACATACAGCTCAGTATGTATAAATACACATTAAAAAACAATTTCGATTGGTTGATTGAGACAACTTTTAAATATAATTTGTAGTATTAATTGTAATCACAAAATTTTTAGTAATATGACTGTTAGGATGCCACTAATTTTACAATTGCCTATATAAAAACACCTATAACTTTTCAGTAAACTTGATCATACAATAGTTCAAAGTGTATTTCCTGCTTGTAGTGTTCACTTACTTATTACTTGCAGGCTTAACCTCACTTAATACTATACTATATCATGATTTAATAACATTTATGTAGCTATATCATTTATGTATATTATAACTATAATAATGGTAATAACTAAGCATTACTGATAATTTTTACTGAAAAAACTATTAGGCTGTAAAATAATTATTTACTTTTTTTTTTTTTTTTTAATTATAATGTTCATCTTTATTTTTTATACTAAATTCCTTTTTTGGTTGAAGACGAAAATATATCTGAATTTAATTCATACTAAAATTATTTTTATACCTTCCAAATTAATTAATTTATTAAACTTATATGATTTACATTGATATACATGTAAATTGAGAATAATATATTGACAACGTCAACAATAGCACTTAAATGTTACTAATATTGAAATATAATTTATATTCTCTATTATTTTTATTCTTATTCGTTTTCTCTGTCTAAACAAACATATAAAAACCTCTTATTTTAAGGCATTAAAACTTTTCGATTTTTGTTTTACACGTCTTTCAAGAATTTAATAAAATTGACTCTCCTGACCTAGTGTCAATAGTTAATTTTAATTTTCCTGTTAGACTCACTCGTTCATACATTTCTTCTCATATTCCAAATTTATCAACCAATTATCAGTCAAACTCACCACTCATTCGCCTAAATATATATAACATATTCCAGGTTTGGGAAATGTTTGGTATTTGCTTAGAATCAAATACCAATCCTCTATTTTTATTGTAGACATGTTTTAAGAACTATATTATACCTGTTGTGTCATCTTAATATTGTACTAATACATATCTAATATTTTAAATTCTATCATTTACTTATAGTTAATTTTATTTCATTTTATTTTTCATATCATTTCATATTGTAACTTAATTATAAATTATTGATCTATTATATATACTTTCCTTTTGAAA